TTCCTCTCCCTCTCCTTTCATGAGAATCCTTTGAAAAGTTGATTTTCCCCCTAGACCCAAGGGACAGCTCTTGCTCTTCCTTATACTCCATGGAACATACCACCTTTCCTTTCCAGCTCTACCGTCAAACCCTCTACCAAGACCCCATCTCCTTGCTGCTACCTGGATGTTGAGACTTGGTTCAGTTCCAGATCTCTGCTGGTAGAAGTCCAGAAACTTCCAGCATCAGCATCATCTTGGGTGAGCAGATGGCCTTCTGACTCAACTCGAGGAGAGGCTTCTGGGGCAGACGCACTCACCCAAGCCGACTTCTATGCCGGCCGCTGTGGCTGTGCCACCCTCCTTCATCGTGGAGAGGTCAGCTTCCTCTACAGATGCGAAAACGCCAGCCACTCTCCTTCCCAGCTTTGGTCACAGTCAGGATATGGACACATCTATCAATCCTGGCCAATGGGGTAAGAGAAAGTCTGTAAGAAAGAAGGCTTCTGAAGGGCCTGATTCCTTCACTGTGGTAGGCAGGGTAGTAGCTCCCCAAAGCTGCCCACATCCTAATGCCTGGAGCCTGTGAATTTGTTATCTTACAGGGCAAAGGGGGCTTTACAGATGTAATCAAATCCAAGATCTTGACATGACAGTATCCAGGATTAACCATGGTAGGTCCACAATCATCCTTGTTCAAGAAGAGGCAGAAGACTCAGGGTCAGAGAAGGCATCATGATGATGAAAAGGAGGTCAGAGTCAGAGAGAGATTTGAAGATGCTACTGCAGGCTCTGGAGATGGGGGATGAGGCCACGAGCCAAGAAGTGCAGAAGACTCTGGAAGCTGGAGGTGAGGAAATGGATTCTCCCCTCGAGCCTCTAGAAGAAAAGCAGCCCTGCCAATGTGTTGATTTTAACCCAGTAAGACCCATTTTGGACTTCTGACTTCTAGAGCGGTGAGACGATAAGTTTGTGCTGTTTTAAGCCACAAAGTTTGTGGTAATTCGTTACGGTGGCAAAGGAAACAAAAACATTTCCTGATGCTGAATCTTCAGCCAAATGTATGGTTTCATGTGATGCTTAAAACTGCAACAACCACTTGAGACCATGACCATGAGGATATAAGCCTTAGGAACAACCAGGACAATACACCGAGGGCTGAGTCAAGAGATGCAGAGTCCCTGAAAGCACCCCTGGAAGCCCCTGCCTCTGGGTTTCTGGCAATGTAAGATAAAGAATGGTAGCATGTTCTGTTATTTGTGGCCACAAAAAAAAAAAACCATTTTACACAACAACCTTCTTGCTCCCAACCACCTTCTGCCCCCAGTAATGCTGAGGCACAATCTAGGGACTCCTAGAAGCAGCCAGCACAGGTAATCAGATTCTGCAGGGTCAGGCAGCTTGTTGCTTAGCTGACTCAGTCAGGTGCTTAGAACAAACCACATACTTCAATTAAAAAAAAAAAATTGTGCAAATTTGCTGAACTACCAGATGCATCCCCTGCCACCACCACACACACAAAAAGTCCTATGGTTATTACTGTATGCTATTGATGACTTTGAAGCCTAAATTTGTGGGAAATTTTTTGAACTAGTACTTCCTGGGGGCATTTTGCCTTGTTTGAATCTAACTGATTGTTCTTGGGAGGAATGGCAGTGAGTACCTTCCCTCACATTTTCAGGAGGGCAGTACAGAGCCAAGTCCAAGGGCCAGGCTCCCAAAGAGCCCCATGGTCACTTCACTTGCGATTGTATTGAGCCTAATGATGATTTGGGATTTATACTTGGCCTTCCCATCCTCGAACATGATACTTATCTTCATTTAAACAATTTTACTTCTAGTTCCTCCCAGAAAGTTATCTTCCTGTAAGTCCCTTGCATTTCCTAACAAATAAATCCCAGACATTTTACATCTTTATGATTCTACTGTGAATCTCCTTTTTAATATATTTGTTAGGGTTATGGAAATTCTGTGTCTGTTGATCTATGTATCTTTATTTCTTACTGTCTGGTTTATGGCAATCTTACTGATTTTTAAAATTTTTCCAGTATTTTTGAAATAGTCCAATGTTCTCTATTAATAAAAGCATTTTACATTTTCTCTTCCAACACTTATAGCTCTTAGGTCTGTTTTTCCTATTCTACTTGTGGTAACAAGATCACATAGAAATCCTGAACTTAAGGTTGCTAAGGACAGACACTCTTTAGTTTTGGATGTGTATATCAATCCGTAGTTACTGAAGAGAGGAGTGAATAAACAAAAGAATGACTCAAGAAGAAAGAGGGGTCAATTTTCATCAGAGAGGGAAAGGTCCATTTCCTAACGCAGAGAGAAACGTTGAAATGGGTTGTTCAGGACCAGCAGGAAGCAGGCGGCTGGTTTGTCCCTGGACTACATCCTAGTGGTCAAAGGATGAGACACCCCTCCAGTGATACCAAGAGGCAAAGTAGGAGCCTGGTCCTAAGTGACACTGGTGGACAGCTTAACTAGCACCAGGAACCTCCTACTTATAGACCTTCAGTTGTGTGAGGAAATGGTGTTTGTTTACAGTAGCTGGATTTTCAGTTATCTATAGCCAAACACACCTTATGGGATACAGGATACAAAGGTATGAACTGGATTATTCCAAACCTGACTGACTGGTTTGTCTTGCATTCTGTGACTTCCCACAGTCCTCTTTGAAACAGATTGCTTTCTGGGTGCGGTGGGGCTCTGCTCCTGCTCAGAGCTCAGCTTCTTCGCCTTTCCCCCACATCCAGTTTGGATCATTTTAATTTTGACCTTATCTTTGATGCTGCGAAGAACAGGCAAAGAACAAATGTGTAGCAGTAATGAATACACCGAAAAGCCCGTTTTCTGGGAAACGTGACACTAAGAATTTACAGAATGCTGATTATGTTATTCCTGCTTCTCCAACTTGAAGTTCTCAAGCTCTGAGTTCTGAAAAGTGTCCTAGAGGCTCATGTTTTAAATACAAGAACATACATCTTTCTTCTTTTTCAGATGACTTTTAAACATGTGTTCCCCTTCACATGGAACACTTTGAGATGCTCTGTGTGATGAATCAAGAGAATAAATGGTGAGTGGAGATCAAATCACAGGTCCGTGATTCAGTCGACTGAAGGCCACCAGCTGCCACAGTGATTTAGTCAATATATACTTTTATATATCTTCTTCTTAGTCAGATATTGCTTATATTAAATCAATAGTGGACTACTGATTAAAGAAAGAATAGGAAAGAATGTTAATATAGTTCAACACTTCAGTATCTCAATAAACATATTTGTTCAACTACATATGGAGTATTTTAAGAGAAGAAAAGTGCATATTAAACTTTGCAATTGAAATGAAAGTTATTGTTGCTATCCAGCCATTTTTATAAATTATCAACAATGCCCTTCTGCAGTTCTAAACTCTTAAGACCTTTTCTAATGACAAGTTTCTTTCTCTATTACGTATCTGCAAGATTTACCTGACCTGGAAGATGAGAGGACACCAGATGCTGGCCTCTGAGGAAGATATGAGAATATTTCGTCCTGGACGTCCAAGAAAAATGACAGTGCTCTGGGTTCATGGAATAACAGAACACACCAGGTCCCAGGCAGGGACAGACTTCTCCCGTTTCCTAGACATGGGCACCTCGCTCACAGAAGAGGACACAGGGCAGAGGATCCTGTCCAGTCCACTCCAATTCCCTGACAATGACTCTGCTTAACCCAATTTTAGTCAGGTTACCCTGAACCTTCTCCCCAGTAAGGCCCATGCGTGTACTTCCTCCTGGAATCCCATTTTAGCAAGAACCCTAAGTCAGTTTATTAAGAGTTTCCTACTCTTGATATCTGATCAAACCCCTCATCCCACTCTCTCCCCCAGGTAACATCCCATCACCCTGACTTGCATCCAGTTATAAACGTATTAGTTTGATTCAGCCAGAATCCCCTCAGACCTGATGTCTCCTCTTCCTAATTTTCTAACCAATACCTACGCCGTCCCCCTCCCACCCCAATCCTTGGTCATAAATCCCCACCTGTTTTGGTTGTATTTGAGAACTGAGTTCAGCTGCTCCGTTCCACCCTGGGGTCATCCTTCCTCTGTTGCAACAGTTTTCTGAATAAAATCTGCTTCCACCGCTTTAACTTCCGTCCAGCTCTGGTTTACCGTGGGAACCTCCCCACTCTTGCACCTTTGGTCCACTTTACCCTGCCCTTCTCCCCACAACTTGAATGGACATTAGTCTTGATGCCTCTCCCCTCCCTTGTCCTGGAGGACGCTCTCTGCACACTTACGGGCCGACTTGTCCCTCTTTCCCTCCCAGGACCTGGGGCTGACTTCAGTGTTGCCTCCAGAACACTTTATAGCGCCCCAGGCCGCCCCTTCTTCCTCTCCATTAGACGTGAACTCACCTTCAGCCCCGCCTTCTTCCCGGAACTTGGGAGGCCTTTAGCCCCGCCCCTCACACTTCCGCCCCGACCCTCCCCCTCTACGTTGGGTGTGAGCCCCAGCTCGCCCCGCCCCTCCCGCCCCTCCCCACTTCCGGTCTGCCCCATGCGTGGCC